TCACTGCCATTCAGCAGGCTGGAGAAGTGTTCCCTCCATAATTTAAGTATGCTCTGGGCATCGGTGACTAGATCACCTTTGGGGGTTCTACAAGATGGTCACGGTCTTGAAACCTTCTGTAAGCCCCCGCATTTTTTCGTAGAATTTTCGAACATTATCCCTGTCGGCCAGCTTATCAAGCTCCTCGTCATTTGAAATCGTCTTTATAAAATATGGTAAAGTATCTGAGAAGGAGTTTTTTAGCCTTATTTTGATGGACCGTCTCTAGTTCCTCGGTCCAATTATTAATTTCGCACATCATGAGTAAACCCGACCACTCATGAAATTTCCCTCAAGATGTTTTTCGCAATTTATCACGGCATTAATTTACTGGCACTGATCTAATATACATCCATACATATGTATGTACCAAAGGATTGTAAGCTAGGTTTAGGACCCGCCACGTAAAAACACCTCTCATGAAAAGAACTTCGCTGGGTCCCGAAATGTGGTCAACTGTAGTACTAGATTCCAGCATCAGAAATATCATCAAGTCAGAGAAACTAAAAACATATGCTTTACATTCTCTGGTTGAAGTAAGGAATTCACCATTTTTGCTGCTATTTAGCAAAAATGAGTACGTTCTCTGTCAGAAATATATGTATGTATGTAAAACAACTGATTTCAGGCGAGAATGCATAGACAGAAAAAATAAACACTTTTATCATATGAATAAAAAAACATAGAATTGCGTTCTGCCGCAGTTAAGTTGTTAATATTATGTATATCAAGTAAAAATTATTTCTATATTTCATTTTTTTAATTTTAATTTAATAAATTTATTAACTATTTAAAAATACATACCTAAATATATTTCAGATTCCTCTTATTTTTAATAAAATTTTTAAGATTCATTTCTTGCGCAAAGACCGACTAGCAAAATAAACCACTGCTTACACAGGATTTTGAAAGAAGTTCTCTGCTATCAATACATTGGTCATATCGTAAATCGTTACCAGAGAACGTTTATTATATAAATATCATATCAACCAGAAATCCCACTCCCCACTGAAACATTCTGGCAACTACGTATTTCGGTGTCTGCTTGATTATGGCAATTAATCGTCGATTTGGTTTTATGCTGACATCCGTGTTCATGACATTAGAAAGTTCTTATTGAATCAATGTGAAATTGCAAACAGAACTTATTATTTGTATTTATAAAATTTTAAAATTAAACTATTAATATGTCGAAAATCTTTACTCCAACAAACCAGATACGTCTTACAAATGTAGCAGTTGTAAGACTAAAAAAAAGTGGCAAAAGATTTGAAATTGCTTGTTACAAAAACAAAGTACTATCCTGGCGAAATAACACGTAAGTATGAGGAGATATAGTTTGTTTATTGGTAACATCTTTATTTCTTTTATTCAATTCTATATTCAGAGAAAAAGATATTGACGAGGTTCTTCAGACGCACACTGTTTTCACAAATGTGTCCAAAGGGCAAGCTGCAAAAAAGGAAGAACTAATCAAAGCATTTGGAAAATGTGATGAAACCGAAGTATGCAAGGAGATTTTAGCCAAAGGAGAACTCCAAGTGTCTGAGAAAGAACGACAATCTGTTTTAGATGCCCAATTAAATAGCATTATAAACAGTGTGGCCGCGTTATGTGTTAATCCCGAAACTCGCCGACCCTATCCAGCAACCATTATTGAAAAAGCGTTGAAGGATGCCCATTTCTCCATTAAAATGAACAAAAATGCAAAGCAACAAACACTAGATGCTATAAAATTACTACGTGAGCATATACCATTAGAGCGCTCACGTATGAAGCTCCGTGTTTCTTTTGCTGGTAAAGAAGGAGGCCATCGGCTAAAAGAGTCTGTTAGTAAATTAGCTACTAAAGTTGAGCATGAAGAATGGGATGATGCCACTTTGCACATGACACTACTTATAGACCCTGGAAATTATCGTGTTATCGACGACCTCATACGAAACGAAACAAGAGGCAAAGGACTTGTTGAACTAGTCGAACTGAAGGAGGTAGTCGAAAACGAAGAAATCTTTTAATTTAAATAATGTATTCGTTAAAAATGTTTAATATAACAACGCATTTCATTTCACGAAATTCAATAATTTTCACATTTACGATCGTAAACTAGTCGAACCAAAAATTTCACGTTTCTTCTGACATTCTGCGTCGATGTTCTTAATAGGAGTGAGTGAATTAAAATATCCAGGTTTATCATTATATTATTAACAGTTTATACATATATTGGTGATAATATGGTTCATATTCAACTTCACTCTTATACAAACATATAATATTCTACAATATTTCGAATCCTATATAGTATTGCGTTTATTTGCGTTTTTTCAAATTTTCAAAACGACGTGACAGATCGTCGAAATCTATGTCGTCGTTATCAGTGTTGTTGGGTTTGTTTTCATCACTCGGCATATCAGGCATCTCCTGAGGAACATTGGGCAAATTTGGTATGTCTGAAGAAGCTGGTGGTGCACTTGGACCCGGAGGCGGCAATTTTTGTCGTGGTTGTGGTTTTGGCTTATTTTTGTCCTGAAATTAAATATAATGTATCCAAGATTTATTTTCCCGAGTTTGAAGTACGCTATGTTGCACAATTTTATGCCAAATAGCTTAGATATCCATATATTTAAAAAAAAATCAAAGATAAAAATTATAAAGTTAAAATAAAAGAAAAAAACTACCTGCATATTTACAGGATTAATTGATGTATATCGTGGTGGGGGGTCATCATATGGTTTAGGACGCTGGTTTTGAGGAAAATTAAAAAAGTAATAATTCAGAAAATACAGCAAATTATTGATAGATAATAATTCATCCATTTAGATGAAATACATTACAATTTAAAAAAAGCTTAAAAAAGGACATACAAGCCAATATATAATTTTACAATGAAACTTATCTAGTAATGTGAATAGATTAAAAAGTTTGATACGATTTATCCAAATACTATTAAAATTAGTAGAAATCATTAGGAAGTTAATAAAGAATGTGAACACGGAATTGGTAAAAATCGGTGAAACAAAAGGTTTTTGACAACAACTATAAACTAGTTTAAATGATGTAGTCACTCAAATACGTGTATGTAATCATACCAAAATATTTTCATCAGGACTGTTTTCGGCGTAATTACAAGAAGTTGCGCCTCCTGCTGCATTTGACGAAAGGTCATTGGTCAACTCATTCTAAATATGTTTTTGCAGTAAGAGGGTTGTGTTATAAAAGCAAACAAAACAAAATTTTCATGCAGTTTTGTAAGATTGGTAAATTCAATTAGGTTATATACTTACATTTATAAATGAAGTATTTAAATCCTTTTGCTCATAACTAGATTGTGTTGGAGGTATATTGTAAGAAAATGGATGTTGTGGATGCCCTCCACCAGCACCACCAGCTTCAGACCCTTGACCATATGGAGGTGGATAATTGAATGGTTTCGCTACTGGTGGGTCAGGCAATGGAGGAAGCGAGGGATATCCGATGAATCCCATTTGTGGGGGTGGTCCTACGGCTCCACCGCCTCCAAGATTGTTTCTATCCGATAAATCAATCAAATGTGCCTGTACCTCAGCTACTAAATAAATATATAAATAAATACAAAAAAACAACCGCAACCATATAGCTTAACAAACCATTCGGAGTTTCGTCCTGCATAACTTGTGGATCGGGTTCATACTCAATATTATAATTTTTTGCAATTTCAATTAGATATTTTTCGACAAGAAGTTTCGGTGGTGCTTGTAGTTGAAGTTTGTTCATTAGTTTTCGGGACACATGATGCTCTCCAGTGGCAGTGCGGGAATGCTCCGCAAATTGGGGACCATATTTTGTAATAAAAATGTCGGAAATAACCTTGAGTTCAGCTACATCACTTTGCAGACGAGGACACACCCAAACTAAGCTAGCTACAGCTTCTGCTATTCCATCATCTAGTTCTTTCATCTGCGTAATTAATCCAAATCGCGCAAGCACCAAATCGCAGTACATTTCTATTATTTCCATAGCTTCCACAAGATAATCCTCACTTTTGGATAAGAGACACAATTATACCATCAAATAATATAATTAATTAAATATGAAATTACCGAATTATATGCTCCACACGAATACGAGCTCTTTCAGTTTTCCCCGTAGCCAAATAGTCGGCAATTTCTTTACGAGCCTTTTGTGCTAGTTCTGCCTTTTTCTTTTCAAGCAATTTAAGGCGATTTAAAGCCAGACGAAGGTTTGTCTTTAATTTTGTATAGTTTGGCCCACTAGAGAACATTTTTAATACTTAAATAATTACAATACCAACGGACAAAAAATAACTAAATCGAAACTTTAATAAAAACAAGGAGTTTTCAAGTGACTCATTTAGATTAAACTCGCTCAAATGACGCAAATATTCAGAAAAGTAAAAAATGACGGTTCAATATAAATATTGCCGTACTGAAGACTTTTCAGCGTATTTGTTATTGAATTATTATATTTATTTTTTCAAAATTGAAAAAACTTGTGAAATAAATACTTCATAAATATAAGTGTTTTAAAACTATATCTACTTCTTTAAGAGATTAGCTAACAAGATTATTTTAGTATATTTATATTTGGAATATATCTAGTAGCAAATTTTTTTTTTTGCAAAATTTAGGAAATAGTTTCTGCCGCTAAATATCACAAGAAAACTTCTACCTATGTAACTTTAAACATTAAGTTAAGTAATCAATTTATAAGGAAAAGCTGAGAACTTAAATATAAATATTTATGTAGAGTATGGGAAAAACTAATATTTTTACATATTTACTTATAATCATTGGTTGGATTCAAAAAATCTATATAATACATTTCGAATAAGCCAGTAAATATATACGGTCATACATTTTAATATTGTCTTAAAATATTTTTTTTTTTTTCAATTGATAATAAATTGTCAGCCGGCAACAATGCGCGATGCAAAAAGAATGAGGAGTAAAAGGAAATTATAAACCAAGAATCAAATGTAAAAGCTGTCATTACAAACGTCACTGTGAACATATATATACACAAACTATCTGAAGGTCGCTTCAGGTTGAGTTTTAAACGATTGCTTGTGGAGAATATTCGGTTATAAACGGGAAAATATTGTTAAAACTAATTATAAAGCCAATGTATTATAATCAGAATATTGTGTTGTTGATCTATACAATTTTAGAAATAAAATGTTATCGCGGGTGTTCAATATTAAGAAATAACGTTTGGTGGTACCTCTTTTTCCTACTGGTAAAATATAAACGTAGTAGTGGGACCACTTACCATGCCAAAACAAACGACTCGAAATGTCATTTGGCAATGGTTTGCATATTTCTTATTATGCAGAAGGGATGAAGAGAAAGAGAAAATGTCAAAGTGATTTTACTACATAGGTGTCGCCGTGATAAAAAAGCGGTGGCTACCTTGTACGCGTTTTCGAAGTTCGAAATTTCGAAAACGTTCAACAGAAAATGTCACTCGTCGCGGTGCGGTGCGAGGTAGTTTACTCCATTTCCACGCCATATTTGATTTCACGAAAGAAGAAAGCAATTTTTGTGTGAAACTTAATTTCAATTCCGTAGTAATATTTGGAGTTCAACAAAATGAGTTTTATGTAGAAACAACGTGCAAAACTATCGGTCCTGCAAAAATAAATCGTTGAGTACGATACTGTGCCATTAAATGTGAGTTTTCCGTATTTAATATTGTGTAATGTAGAAAAAGTTTAGTGAATGTTTATGTAGTGGTTGTGTATCAATTTGTTCACAAGCCGAGGTCGTATATGTATATAAATACAGCCGAATGCTTCCAATAGTGCTCCTTAATGTGAAGTTAAATTCCGAGACGTGATCCTTAATATTATATAGTATAAGAAGAAAATTTAAATTTGCAAAAAAATTAAGATTTTTAATATTATGTGATTATTTATGTAGAAATATATACAATATGTGCTTCATAGAAGGCAATTTTGTACCCCTATTATTGAAACTGAAATAATCTTCTGCAACCAAATAGTATTTGGTAAAGTAGATTACTCAGTTCTTTACTTTTAAATAAAATTCTTATTGACAGTCGATTTACTGATGTTCTTTATGTGTATTATGTTATGAAAACATATTTGTATTCCAAATAAATATTAAAAAAAAAAAATGCCTTACGTGCATAAATTAATGATAGAAACTTTGTTAACGTAAATTCGTAGCAATGTATTTAGAAACAAATATTTAATAAGTAAATTCAAGAACGAATAGTATAATAACTGATGATAAATGTGCCTTGTCATGAATAATGTTGTTTTAATATCTTTATAAATACATATTCCGCCTGGAAAGAACATCTTACGAATACATAGGATTTCGATGACTATACTAGATATAAAATCAAAGGAGTTAGCTTAATAACATTTTAGTTAACATAACTTATCTTTCACATACGAGTAATAGAAAGGAACCCCGACGAATCAAATTTAAGCTTTAATAGTTAATATACACTATAGTAAAGAAGAAATATATATTTTACCTGTCTTAATTTACAGAAAGTCCAAATGGCGCAATATTACCAAATACAAAACCTTGAAGATTTAAAGCAAATCTACGCAGATGTGCAAGTTGTTCACGTTGCTAGTGAAGATGTTGGAGTCGGAGGCCATAACCGACCTCAGGTTATTATATTTTTAACTAACAAAACATTTCTTTAAATAAATTAATAGTAATGTTTATCAAGCTTCAAATAAAGATAATTCTAAATTAAATAAGTCTATTTCTTTAAAATTTGCAATCAACCACCAAATTTAGAAAATGTTTAAATAATAAAATATACTATTTTATTTTAGTTCTGTTACAGCCTAGCATTCCGGCCTCTCAGAACCCAAACATAAAACAATAATATTTACTTATTACCTTACTTCATATTCGATTGGAGCAAATTTGTTTCTGTTTTATTGTTCCTTTGTTAATGTTTCTTTGTCTTTGGATTAGTAGTTACATAAATTTGGGTTTATAAAACTTTAAATTACTTTTCCAGCAATTACTTCTGCCGGATGATCAACTGATGTTGAACGAAGGACAGCAGGTAGTTTATCAAACTACAAGTGTACCGGCACAGCAGCAATACCAGCAGCAGCCCACAGCTACAACTACTCAATATATAATAGGAGATGAAATCTCGCAACAGCAACAACAGCAAACAGTTCAACATCAACAACAAGTTATGTATGACCATCATCATCAACAACAACAGCAGCATTATGTACATGAGAGCCAACAGTTGCAGCAGGATCACCACCAGTTGGCCCAGCAAACACAACAACAACAGCCGCAATTATATTACACCACCGAGCAAATATTACAACCGAATTCCTTAGTACAGCAACAACAACAACAGGAGATGCAACATCAACAGCAACAACAGCAACAATTACATGTTCAGCAACAGCAATATCAACAGCAGCAGCAACAACAGCAACAAATTGTACATCAGCAACATTCAATGCAGACGTCACAACAAACTCAACAAATAGTTTATCGGATGCAACCCCAGCAACAATCACAAAATCAACAAACTCAAGTAAGATGTAATTCGGGCTGAACTAAAGTGATATATATATATATATATGTATATTTTTTAATTTTTTTTTTACAAAAGTTTTAGTTATTATTGACCTTTTCAAACTAATAGAGCGCTGAAATACTCTCGATCATAATAGTCAGCTAACAACTCAGATCACTGTTAAGTGAGTTAAACGTATCAGTTCAAAATAGGTCACTCACAGCTAGCATATTCTATTTCTGAAAAGAACATTTTGTAATGGGATATAAAAATTATTAAAACCACGAATTTTTAAATCATTTTATATCGAACTTACTTCACTTACATTTCATTAAGACACCGTCTTACTACGAGCGAGTGTTTTTAATCAGAAGAACTCTTGAGTTGCTTATAGAGAATAGAAGACAAAGAACAACAAGAAAATTGTTTGAGAAGTATTTAAAAAAAATCAATTATCGATGGGCATTTGGAAAACTAGTCAAGCTTTTCATTAACTTAAGTGATGGAGATCACTACGAAAAGATAAATACTTAAAAGTGACAAGCCAAACATTATTTTTTTGTTAACTAATGTACTTTAATGTGTAAATGTGTGAAGTTTAAAGACACCTTGAATCTAAGCCCTATGTTGATTAAACTATCTCATTTCAGATGCTTAACAATGCACATGTTATATTACAACAACCATCGGGGCAACAGGTATTAATTCAGTCACCACAACATCCAGAAATAATTATGCGTCAATCAATGCCACAGCAACGTATTATATACAATACTAATCGTGTATTGTATACTCCGCAACAGCAACAGCAACCTCAAACTCAAACGATTTTGCAGCAGTCTCCACAAGCGCATCAGCAACATCCTCAGCAGCAGCAACACATACAGTTACAAGCAACTCCCACGACAAGTCCAATTCACACAACAGCACGTTTAGTTCAGACGAGAGTCGGTGCCTCGCCGCAAGAAGCGGGACAACAACATCAACAAACGCCGACGCAACAAAATGTTGTATTTCATCCTATTCAAGCAACTGCTGTCCAAAATTCTCAACAGTTGAAACCCCAAATACAACAGCAATCTCAAATGACAATACAGCAAACACCGCAACAACATTTAGTGGCCTCAACCATGAGTGGAGGGGTATCCGGTGGTGGGGTTATGCGTGGTGCTATTCGTAATAAATCACCACGAGGAGGTGGTGCTCTTGGAAGTACTCATACTTTAATCGCACGTATGCCAGTTACTACAGTAGGACGAGCTATACGCCCTCCATTAGTAACACCAATACAGTCAACACAGAATCCCAGAGCAACTAGGCCTAGGGGGGGAGCTGCTGGTGGTGCACGTGCACGTGGAGCGGCTCGTGGAGCACGTGGAGGTGCTGTAATTGCTAGTAGAAATACACAGGTAGCCACACCAGTAGTACAACCACAACAGCAATCACAACAGATGCAAGCTCCACAACAAATAACTCCATCTCAACAGATCATGCAGAATGCAATGAACAAAAATATAACAATTTTAAACCAACAAGGACAAGTAAAGCATATTTACCGCAATATTGGTGATAGTCAACAGCAACAATTGCAATTAGTAACGGGTACATCGCAGGCGCAACAGCGTTCAACACAAATAGTTGGAGCACGTTTCCGTACTCCAGTAGGGTCAACTAGTGGAAATACGAATAATGGTAACAATTCCAGCAATAGTGGTAATAGCAGTGGCAACTATGAATTAGATTTGGAAGATAGCATTCAAGCAGTAGTAGTAAAAAAAGATCAGCAAAAACCGCCAGGAACGACCTCGAACATTGCTAACCCTGTGGGTACTACTC